TTTTTGAGAATGTTTGTGTTCTTAACCTCGCATCCTTCAAAACTCCCCATTCAAGAGAACTTTTCAGGAAGTCATTTATTTCCTTTGTTTCTAATTCTCTTGCATTCATAATTCAGAAATGGCTCCTTAATGAAACATGCCCTCATGTTTATCTTCTTATAAAGGTTATTGTATTGGCCAGAACACAATGATCAAACTTACCCTGTTTCACTTCTTAATCAGCACCATAACTTCCAAGGAATTTCCCCTTCACCAATAAGACTTTTGTAATTGAAAAGTAATCTTTTAAAAAAAGAAGATAGAACCTGAATTTTCTCTGATTATGGGAAAAGAGTTGAGAAGTGCTACAATAAAAACTGAAAACTAGCAATGGAGATGCTTGATCTTACACTTTAGGTGATTTATTGTACAATTCCACCCTCCTCCCCCGGGGTCTAGGACTTATTTCTCTTTCTTATTTGCTGAAGCCCTGCTATTGCAGCATAGTGTGGTTCTGTGATGACCTCGGGTGAATCTTTCACAGCCATCCCAGCTTTCCCACTACTAGGGCTATGTAGTTCTAGATAGTAAATGGGAGTGCAGGGGAGGCTAATCTGATTGAAAATGGGGGAGACACACTGGCCGACCTTTCTGCCCGGACACCAAAGAATCTTGACTTTGTCCTGGAAAAAAAACCTTTCCTTTTATTCAAGGACACTACACCTCCCAGCAAGTAAGTAGCACCAGAGAAAGTAGACATCAGCGCTTTCAAGGCCTAATTCAGGCACACAAGCTGCTGACCCCAGGGGCCAGCTCCCTAACAGTCCTGGAATCCACCACCCTGGAAACCTCAGAATCACTCTTTTTCTTGACAAAGTCTTCTTGACTCCCTCTCCCCTCAGTGACCATCTGCAGCCCAAAGTCCCGTCTGCCTTCTCTTCTCTCACGTGTAACCTCAGCTCTCCCTCCCCCAGAAAGCTGTTGCTCTGGGTCTCTCAGATGCGGTTCTAAAGCCCAACTCTAAGCATTCTCCTAGGACACTCACATTCAATGGTGTGCAGTGAGGCTGTGGAACTACAGACAGCAGAGACCAGGGTGCTCCTGAAGCAGGTATCTCTAACCTAGCTAGGTGAGGCTGAACCTCTGAAAAATTATCACTGCACTTTAAGGACCTCCCCTTTAAGAGTGTTAATTCTCACTTCTGTGAACACTGTAGTTTGTACTTTAAATATGACTCACCTCTGAACATAGCAATGGTACAAGAAAACAATCTGTTACCTATGAGTTTTAGGAGAGTTGGACTGGATTTAGGATGGACTATGTTCAGTCACCTGTGAGGTCCTAAGAGGTAGATTTGTTATTCTTATTTTTTAGCACATGTCAAACTCCAGATATCACTATGAGAAGCTATGCCACCCTCCTCTTCTGAAATCCAATTCTCTAGGATTCTGAAGGTATAATTGATTGTCAGTGGATAAAATACATTCTTGTTTCTGTAAACTTGTATTTGAGACATGCTTCAAGGCTAGGTTTCCTGGCAAAGTAGAGCATAAACATTTCCCCTGGAGAGCCAACTCCAGAAATCCTGTTATTTCTTTTCCTGTTTTCTCTGTATTCCATTTCATTTTCTCTCACCTATCTCCTGACAGAATAAAGATAAAGGCTGCTTGAATAGAGTCAAAGAGTGAAGCTCATTAAAAAGACAGGGATATAGAGTTCAATATTAAATAGGTTGTTGTTTTCCTTATTTTGCCAGGCACCATCAATTCTGGAAACCAAACTCCAAATAAATCCCTCGGATGGTGTTTCCCTTTTTAAGACTTTGGACTCTGCTTTCCTGAAGAAGGAGGTTACATACAGTTGGACAGACATTTTTGAGTCATTTGAAGATTGAAGTCGCTTCCTGGTCAAGGACGAGGCATCACTTTTTCAGAGTCTGCATGCTGCCCTCTCCTGGCTTATATGTGCAGGAGCTCAACATCACATCAAACACATTTATTTTAGCCCCACACCTCTGTGCCTTACACCTGTGAGCGCAGAGGAATGTATTTAAAATATCCCAGACATCTCAGAAAAAGTTTATAATTGAAGCTGATTTGAGGAAGTCAATTCATTATTCCTTCGGCTCCAGGATTTATGAATACCCATCCACCATTATACTATTCCACTTCAGATCTTTGTTCTCTAACCCCTCTCATTCTATATCTTCATAACTCGCACATGGTTCTGAGAATCAACTCTGCAAATCAGTGCTCCACCAAGGGCTAGGTCCTGACAATCTTTTGGCCAATCAAAGATATCTTCCCTTCTAGAAGTGGTAGCCATGGGAATTATGCTGGAATTGTGCATTAGTGTTGAGATGAAGAGCCTGGAGACTTTATTTTACCTAATCAAAATTAATTCTACACATTATTAGGTCAGTGTGTCCTAGTCACAAAGACAAGGGAACTATGTAGTAGGAAGAGAAGCAAGAGAAGCAGCTAATCAAAGAAGTAGATGATACCATAGGTCTAATTTACAATTGCGCATCTTTCCCTTCTGAATAATTTGTCTTAGGTTAGTCCTTTTGAAACTTGTCTTAACCTCAATACTGGGTACACTTTCTTTTGAAGCAAAACATTTATTGGTATATTTCAGATATACATAATTATAACACTCATCATTGGGAATTTGCACCTGTACATAAGAAATCCTGCCTCTTCTTTTTTCCCATCCCCCCTGTCCCCCCAGGACAAGAAAAAAAGTGAAAATCGAAGGCAAAAAATGGCAGCAGAGCTTTTCTATATAGGGAGGGGAGGGGAGTAGGCACACTTCCTGGTTGAAATAATTCATTTTTATGCTCCTAAATACTTAAAAGGCCCTAATACTGAGATCGCTTCTCCAACCTGGCACAACTGTGGTAGTACGAACGTGCCTGGCCTAATCTGCCGTGCACCTGCCCTTCTGCAATCTCTCAGTGTCTGCCCTTGACCCAGGAAGGCCAGCCCTTTCCATATCAACAACAACCCAGGGCCCAGACTCAGGCTCCCACCATTCCTTTTCATTAGAAGAGCACTAAGGAAGAGTTATTTACCTTAAGGAGATTTAAAGGCATGTACCTTGTTTAAACTTTGCCAAACTTACAGCCCTAAAGCTGTAGCTGGCGATACTAAGATTTGTAGAGAATGAACCTACTTCTCTTGGTGAAGAACAACACCATGAAACAGTGAATAATTATTGTTTATATTTACCCTTGAAAAGCCCTCTTTGTCTCATAGTCTATACAAAGTCAATATGTTCCGCCTTACAGTTGCTCAGTGAATATCAACATGCCCAGCATTGCTTCAGAGTTTGGATGCTAAGGGAGAAATTGATTCCAATTTACTTCAGATATTTATAGAAGATTGGCAACTACTCATAATAATACAAAACTACTCTTGTAACTACTAATAAAACTTAGTACAGTCAATTGATTTATATTTATTTTAATAGGTATTAATAGGTGTTACAAGCAATTTCCTTTTTGCTGTAAAAAAAGAAAAATATTCATTTATAAAGTTAAAATGCTCTCTCCTAAATATAATATTGTACTTGCCATGTCTCTTCTTTGACACAATTTTTAAAAATACTTTGCTAAATAATTCACACCTGTGAATGGGCAAAAAATGATGTTTTCATGACTCCAGGGTAGTACAGCTAGCTGCTTTTACCTTTTTTGTATTTCCCTTACTGACAAAAGAACATGTTAATTTGACCCCCCAAAAAGTCAACATAAATCCTTCATTGTGATACCTTATCTGGCTTGCAGGCACACAATTGCTCTGAAAATCCAGTACTATTGGAATGGCAAGTTGATTGTGAATTAGTGAATGGTATGGATTTGATCCGCTGAGGATAATGGTATTTAGACTGAAGATAACGTACTTGATTCTCCTGCACCTGCTGCAGTGAAACTGTCTTATTGAACTAGAATCCCAATGCATAGTCTCCACTGCAGAAAAAGGACTGTTTATAAGGATTCAGAGGCAATTGAATACCAGGACATGGGGATTGCCCAAACCAAGACCAATCTTTTAACTGAGCTTTATTCAGTCCCCTCTGGCTTTTCCAGGGAAAGATCAAACTCATTAAGCAATATTAATTTAATCACAAGTAATTATCAGGGGAGAAACATTACATAACTGTCTTCAAAATTGTGAATCCAACATGGTGAAATCCCATGGAAAACAAATTTGTTTTTCTTTCTTTTCTCATTTTTTTTAACAAATTCTTCACCTCAAAAATAAAAAAAATAAAGAAACAGGCAGAACTCTACCAGTTTAATAAAATCACACTCAAAATTGACATTCCTTACAGGTATCAAATTTACTACGTAGTTCTCCAATTCCTAACTTTTTAATGGAGTCATCTATGAGAGCTAGAAACTCATCCTGTTTGGGGATGAACAATGAAAATGCATTTTTAACTCATCAAAAAGGTAAAAAATAAAGTACACAGGAAAAATCACCAACAGTCACATTGAAATATATCTAGCTCTCTTATCTCTTGTCTGCCTTCAACCACAGCAAAACGATCCAGTGATATTAGCCTACGTTGGCCTTATGCCTTAAAAATCAAAACCATGCCCAAGTGGGCTGTAGCTGCATTCCCAGAGGAAGGCTAGTACCCGATTAGGCAGGTGGGAAACGTGTAAAGACTGCTTTCTAACACTTAGACTGTGTGGGATTTGCTCTGGGTCCTCACTATTAATGGAAGTCGGCGGGAGATATTTCTAGGTTGCATGACAACATGCAGGTATTGGTAGCATTTGAAAGAGAGAGAATACAGTCAGGTTTAAAGGTCCTTGCTTTCCACCTACGCATAATTCAATAGCTGTATAAACCTGGTGGCCCCGGAATGCACACTGGCAGGATCCGGGAGATCTTCACTGAGGCTTTCTACCCGGACCAGCCAGGGAACAATGTCAGTTCATTCCCCTCGCCTGGGGCAGGCAGGAATCAGGGACCCCTTCTGTGGCAGATTAGCCATGACAAGCTTGGTACCTGCAATGACGTGATGGAGCCTCCTCCTCGGGCCCCTTCTCTCTCCCTCGCCTTGGGGTGATATAGTCCACAGCGGGGTCCAAGTCGGGTCTCCCGCGGCCGCGCTCCGAGGCACCGCACACGGAGCCCAGCAGACGCCCATAGGAGAAGCGCGGGGCGCGGGGCCGCGGGAGGCGCTCGGTGCCAGCCCGGCCTGGCCTGCAGACGCGAGCGCAGCCCGGCAGACTTCGCTCTGACTCCTCTTGCCGCTGCACGGGATATTATCACGGTCTGGGATTTCTATTGGCTCCCAACACCAAACAAATCACACCAGCTGCCCCCCCTTCTCCGTTTCACTCAGCGCTTGTTTCTCATCTAACCCACAAACATTGCAGCCACACACTTCAGTCGCTTGCAATGTTTCCCCTTTCCTCCTTCCAGTCTGTGGATTTACAACCCTGTGGTCAGCTCTTAACATTTTTTTTAGCAGACTTCCAATCCAAACCTTCTTGTTTATGTAGAGAAATTCTCCATCCCCTAAACCCGCAAAAACCACTCATTCCCTTCAGATCTTCTTCCTACTTTTGTAGATGGGCTTGTAACGTGGAGAGTGTAGAAAGCTTGTGTGTGATATCACACACACACACACACACACACGCACACGCACACGCACACACACACACACACACACGCCAGGCTCCTTTTGTTGTGAATAACTGAGACCAGTAAAATTAAAAGCACGCTGAGCCTCTTATCCTAAGTGAGAGTTTAGCTAATAAAATCTTGAATGAATTCAGGGCGAAATAGTCATTGCTTGGGTTTGCCTTCTGTTCCAAAGAGCATTTCGGTCATTATTATCCTTATTTTTGTTTATTAAACGCAGAGGCCTCTAATGCAAATCAGATTCCTCAGCGTCCAGAGAATACCGGACAATGCCATGCGGCCAGTTCTTGTGCTCCACAGGCTTGGTGTGTCCCATCAGAACTCAGTGAGGCCTGCTTGCTCCCCCGTTTTATTATTTCCTGGTCTTCCCTCTCCCTTGGCCATCTCAGGACTGAGACACTCACTGTCATTCAGTAGCCGAAGAAGACTATTCAGACTCTGCTTGATAAAGGCTCCCAGATGCTAACTTGTCATCTGTACATGTCAACAGAGATAAACATCCGGCCCCTCAGTGGGGAAAGGGCCCGGAAAACTCTTCTGAGACCTCACCTACCCAGCAGGGGAAATTCAGAATACAATCACTTTTCACTGTGTTTTATCATATAGACCTTCCCTTAGTCCACCCCCCAATCAATCTCACTGGCGCTGGTGGCAATTTTAATAATAATTATTCTTGACCAGAAGCCATTGCTTCTGAAATCATGGAGCTCTGTTAGGATATTTCACTTGAATTTTTTTCCAGCATTATTCCCTTTGCATCCTACTTTTCATTTGATACCCTGGTTCCAGCCAACTCACAGCACAGTTTTGTTACAAAATCACAAGACATAACAATTAGTTTTTTGAAATTTCTTATCACCAAACAGACTACCTGTTCTCTTTTCTTACTTGGACACATCCCAGGAATTCTGAATTGTGGTCTTAGTTTCAGAATGGATCAACCTGAAATCAGCTGAAGTTGACAAAAGAAATGCAAAGCAAAACCACATTTGGCTGTTGGTTCCCGCTAACCACAGAGTGGCTTCAAATGGCATATCTGTTTATTACTTAACAACTCTAGCCCATTTTCTTTCTTCTGGTAGCCAGCTAAAAAGATGGTACTGTCATACATCTTTGGATGTGTACAGTGCACTTCTTTAACCAGTCTGATAGTTCTGAAAAGAAAGGATTCTCAGATAAGATTTTCCACATTTTACAGGTGGAGAAACAGTGGGAGAATAATAAAGTGACTTGCTGAAGGTAGACAGCAAACAAACCCAGGAGACTGGATGACTGCGCTCCTTATCTTTTTTAGATCACCTTTTTGTAGGAACTATTCAGATCAAAGGAAAGCAAAGAGTTAAAAGCAGCAGACTCTGATACCTGCCTCCTTTGCTCAGAAAAGCTAATAATTCACGAAATCATGTGTCCAAACTGGTGATTAATCAGTTTAAACATTATTTCAGAACTGGCCATGATATTTTCAGAGAAGTTACCAATAATTTGTCTTAAAATTACCTTTCTAGAAAAAAAGACAGTGACTGGTTAAAATAAAACATAGCCAGCCAGGTCATTATATTTTCTGTATTTTATTTTCAGGGCTCATTATAGCTCTCCATATCTCTGGAAAGACAATGTAAGTACAGACATGAATAACTTAAAGTCACAGATAAATCTTAAATTTTATTTTAGGTAATAATTCAAGTTCTTTCCTCCAGTTAATGAAGAGAAAAACTAGATGATTTAAGAGATAATTTCTTATGCCCAATAAGTAGCATGATTAGGGGGAAATAAATCATGAGTATATATTCTATATCCTTTTGATCATTTGCTACTTTAAAAATACTTTTTGGAGGCATTTCTGAAATGTTATGTGTAGTTCATTAAGCCCTTCATAAATGACATAGACATTGGTACTAATAAAAACTCCTGTGTCTAAAAATATAATAGTAATGGACTGCAATACAGATTAATGACAAAACAACCTTATTTTATTTTCACCTCATTCAGTCATATCAATATCACCCTGTTTACTTCTCTACAGCACTTTTACAGGAAAGAGTCACAAATTGGCATGTATCTAGGGGAGGTGGTAGGACAGTGATTTCGGATATTATAATTTCTGAGAATTGCTGGAGAAAACTGGTAACTTGTCTTAAAAAAGAACATAGGGTGAAGATAGTAACACATTTTCAAATATTAAATGTGGTGAAGAAAATGTGTTTTACATCCATCTAATGCTTCAAATGTGGTCATTTTCATCAATACTGTCACAATTCATTCTTTAAATGACTGCAGGAGAACCAGAGGATAAATATTAGTCAGTTAATTTTATTGATAAAGAAAATTTGACTGATAAAGTCACCTGATTTAGTCGTGTTTATGGTGTGAGAGGCTAAGAACTGGAAGTGGATTCTGAGCCTTGAGCTTTTTCCCTGTAAAATAGGTGGGGAAAATTCACCGTGGGGAAGGACTTCTTACAATTAAAGTTTTTCAAAAACGGAAACAATTTCCTGGCAAACTAATGATTTGGAGATTTAACGTAAGTTACTGAAGTGGTCAAAAAAATACAGTCATCTAAAGAGATTATTAAAACAGTGGTAAAGAGGTCAGATTTATTTAAATTTGGAAGCATTTTTTATTTTATTATTGCCCTTTAAAATATGGTAACAAATTTCTAATTTTATTGATTGATCTTCAATAAAGCATAAAAAGGTCACAGTTATGATTTGAGTATGGACTATGAATGTTGATAGATGATTTTTTGCCCTTGTTTTGACATGCCTATATTTTTCTATGGTGAGTACATATAATTTGTAGTAAAAAATAAGAAAGCAAAAGAGCTTGTAATTCTCCCTGTAGAAAGATGTGAGATTTCTACATGACTATTATTCTGAAGACTTACTATTGTAAGCATTTCCACTCTTACAAGCAACATCTTGATTTTATCTGCATCCTTTCATTTATTTTCTTTCTAATCTAGATTAGATGCCATCCTAATGCTAATATCTGAGTGTCTTTTTCTTTAACTTATCTATTTGTTGAAAATCTATAAATGCTTTTGTAGTCCTTTTATAGCTATAATTGTCTTCCTAAGGTTATCATAGCAGTTCAAATTTAAAATTATTGAATGATTTTGATATATAGTTTAACTTTCTTTACTTTAATGGTTTTTAATTATTCCTTCATCAGCTATCAACCTTTATTTTAGAGAAAACCAGAAACTTTATTGTTAAAGTTCTATATTCACACCACAGTCTCCACATGCAATATTTATGATTCATTGATATATATGAATCTATACTCTCACCACCCATAAATTTCAGCTTTTTGTTTGTATGGAATAATATTTATTTCCCTTGTGTCACAATAGTCCTGCCCAAAATGTATAAGAATGATTTATAAGAGTTTTACAGGAAAAAATATGCCCCTTCCTGTGTTGCAGAATAAACTCCTTAGCCATGAGAGTGCCATCTGTCATGTTTGTGTCACCCCAGTGGAGCAGAGAGCACAACCCACAGATGAACTTGGGGAATTAGTAGGAAAGGGAATGACCACATTTTCAGCTCCAGCCCCATATTTTCCCTGAAGACCCAGGGAGCAGGTGGTGGTGAGAGTCTGTGATTCATTAGCCCATGCTTATTATATGTCAGCAAGGCCTCTGCAACTGTACCCTTACCTCTGAGGCATGGATGGAAAGATGTGCAGAAGGTGAAATCAGAGCAGGGAGACGTCAAAGCCTATAACCTCAGCACTCTGGGAGGCTGAAGCAGGAGGATTGTAAGTTTGAGCTCAACCTGGCAACTTAGCAAGACCCCAACTCAAAAATTTTTTTAAAATGTTTTAAAGGACTGGGGATGTAGCTCAATGAGAAAGCCTTAAGTGGTACAATCCCTAATACTGCCAAAAGAAAAATAAAGGATTATAATCATCCCTTTCTCTCTGGGAAGGATTGATTTCAAGACTTCTATGGATACTACAGTCTGAGGATGCTCAAACCCTTATATAAACTGGTACATTATTTTCATGTTACCCATGTGCATTCTCCTGTATACTTTAAATCATCACTGGATTACTTATAATGCTGAATAAAACATAGATGCTATGAAAATAGTTATTATAGTACATCATGTAGGGAATCATGACTAGAAAGACATGTATGTACATATTTATTACAGATGTAATCTTAAAAAAATATTTTGCCTCGGTCCTTGGTTGAATCCCCGGATGCAGATGCAGATACAGAGGGCTGGATGTGTCCACCTCCTGCCCTGACTGAGGTTGGCAGTTTGCCTTACTCTGGCCATTAGAGTAAGTCCAAAATTTACATGTGTGCCCTTGTGTGGTCTACCACAGCCCTCCTTCTCTTCAGGAGTTCAGTAGGATCCTGGGGTCCCTGAATGAGGACCCACACAGCAAAGCTTCGATCCACCTGAGACACATGGTATAAGGGGAGCGGTGAGTAGGCCAAGGAGATTTCTGGTCATTTCTTGACTGCACCGCAACACAATCTAAGCTGAGTGAAAGCACTTATTTCTATGATCACTTCTCAGGGACTAGAGCTCTTTTGCATAGATAAATCCAGTATGATTGTTAGTACGTAAATATTCACTTACCTTAGTTACACTGGGTAACATCCCATGCAGTGAAATTCCCATTAGAAAGTGAACAAAATCTATTTTAAATTGGGCTCATAAGTCTCTGTTCCATGGCCAGCCTTTCTTCATCTTAGATCCATATCTTTCTGAACATTAATATGTTCCTGGGAATC